CAGCGTGCGTCAGCTACACAAGGCTACTTACACAAGGCCCCGGCGATTAACCGACTGAATGCAGTGTGTGGCGCTAAAACCACCGCAAAATCGCCCACTCACTGGACGCCCTCGCCACGGGGAGTCAAAACGAGACTCACAACGAGATGCACCCCAGGTAAGCTCAAACATCATGGAGCGCCAGCCGTGATTCATTTATTCTTTAACCCGCAGAACAACAAACCTGCGCGTGAGCAGATTAAACACGCTCCTAAAGATGAACGCCACGAGCGAGCAGCTTAAGATGATCACGTTGTACGGCATGCTGAAGTCCGGCGTCGCGAGGTCCACCAGCAGCGCCGGCGTGTAGATCCGTGGGCCCTGCGTCGGTGTCCGTCCCTCTTCAAGTGACAATTCTCCGCCGCCCAGGGGAACTAGCACCGCCCCGGGCAAATCCCACCCGCGCTGCGCATCCGGCGGGTGTTCCGTATACCGCAAAAACGCCTTACTGATCTCAATACTCAACTGTACCGTGTTTTCCGCCGGGAGGGTTAGGATGGTCTGGAACGTCGTCGCGCGCGCGTGCGGAATGGGCGGGATGTAGGATGTGTTGTGGATGAGGTCGTCTGTGGGTGAGGGTGAGTGAGTGAGCGGGAGTGAGGGTAGGCACATATTGAATTGACGAAAGGAGAAGGCAAGGAGTAACGACGTACCGCGCAAAATCCCATCGACGCGCAGCGCCATGGTGTGCAGATAAAACTGCACGATCCAGGGCATCGTTTCGAGGTACACTGCCTGCATGGCGTCGGGGCCGGTATTCGTGATGGAGACGGACAAAGTGCCATAATCTTGCGTCGACCCTTGCAACGTGCGCCGAACAGAGAGCGGGCTCCCGGGCGCACGAGCGTGCGATGCAACTAAGAAGGATTTGGCATTTTAGATGATGATACTAAATATTGGTATTGCTGCTCACCGAAGTCAAAGTCCGCGGGCCACTGCATGGACACGTCCAGCGGGGAATCCTCTGTTTCCACTGTTAGCAAAATTTCGAACGGGATAACGGAGAATCACTCACGGTCTGTTAAATTAAAGATGGCATTGTGCTCCTCGAGGGATGACGGCTGTGGAGTGAGACTGTACGCGTCGTTGACTGGTAGTGTAACGATGATGCGGCTGGAGGTAGCGCTGGGGCATGTCCTATCGATGGTGCGGTCGAATACGGACGAGAAAGACCAGTCTGGAGATAAAGAAAGAATCAAATTGTCTCCGCAAAAGAGAGAAAGACAAGATATTACCGCGCTTATTAGACGACGTGCGCAACGGATCCGCGACCGACTGGAAGGTAAGCCGCACCTGCACTCCGTCGTCGGGGAGCCATGAGACATGCAGCCCCATTCCGTGCCAGTCTGCGTCAAACAGTCGGTGCGGGTTCAAGAGGCTAGCGATGCCGGAGAGCGCCTTGCACGGCAGTAGCTTGAGGAACGGTGTGAGGTTCTCGGTGCAGACGTGCTCCGACGGCAGCGAGGCGTGGCGGATCGCGTGTGGCAGGGGCCAGTCGGGCACGCCGCCCTGGGGTGCGAATGCCAGCGCGGGCGCCGTGGTGCGCAGCTCGTCCAGCGACCCGAGGGACGCGCAGAATAGTCCAGCGAGTGCGTTGCTGAGACCGCGCCAGCGCTCGTCAACGCTGTTTCGATGCTATCAGCGTTCAAATGGCGGACGGGTGGGTATCACGCACGTAGTGTCGGCTCCCTCGCCCATCCATGCCCACAACGTGGCTCCGGACCCGACGTCCGCCTCATCGGGTGCTCCCCAGCGTTCGTAGTTCCATTTCCCGGCATTCAATGTAAGGTGCATCTCCGTGACCGCGTATGTGCGCAAGATCTGTCCTAGAGCGAGTGGGAAGAGCGTGTAGTGCTGCGCTGCGGATATCATCATCAAATGAGTTCGAAATGAGTGGTGAGGCGCAGAACACGCACAGTCGTCTTCTATGGCGAGATTTTGCGGGTTTCGTGGGCTTGCTCCTTCTAAAAGCGTGCTGAATGAGAACCGCGAGGCGACTTTGCCATCGCGCAGCCCTCGGACGCTCAGCTCTTCCTCGAATGTCTCCGACGACGAGGATCGTGCCAAGGACGACAGCGAGAGGAAGAAGAGGGCACAAAGTAGGTGAGATGGCCAGTAGTTTCGCATCTACAGCATGTGCGCTGGTGTCAGTGGCAGCGGTGAAGGGTGACCGTGGATGTCACATGGCGTGCTTGCCCCTACTTGAACAGGCGCCCAACAAGCGCCCACTCATGCGACTACAGTGCACCGCCACACGTCTCTTCTAGCTCGTTCCTCGCTCGATAAAGTCTGTTGGTTACCGCGCCTTGATACCCGGGTGCCTGCGTTATTATGTAAGATTTCCTTTTGCGGATTTCACGTGCATGGCCTTTTGACGCGACTTGAACGCGTCGTAGTGGTAACTGGGAACTGGGAGCAAATTTGATGCCTTGGTTCTGAACTAACCACTTTCAATTGTCTGCTGAATTTTTTTCGGCACGACCAGAGCCAGTAAACCCGCTTTACGAATATATTGGTCTGATTTTAACCATTGCTTCTCGGAAACACCCCAGTGTATTTACGCTGTGAAACTAAACATGCCTGGCATTCATTAAAACCATCTTCAGCGCGTTTTTGGCCACCCGGAGATATTCCGTGGCAGTGAAGAAGAGAAACGCGTCTCGACGCGTTTCGGCGAAGTTCCCAAAACGGAAGCTTACATAATAGCGCAGGCACCCGGATAATCAGCGCGGTAACTAACAGACTAGTAAGCAACAGACTTCAACAAGCGAGGTACGAGCTTCGAGTTGAAGCGTATGTCTAGGAGAGACTACCAGCGGCCAGCTATAGAACAGAGCACCCTCGGGAACAGTTAAGTGACTTGATCATCCATTGGGTGGATAGATATCTCATCCATTGGATGGATAGATCATCATGAACCGCGAGTAATGGAAGGCAAGTAACGGGAATCAATCTAACCGGGTGCGCTGCATATACTTATAATGAGCGGTGCGTTGGTCGCACTGCATTCGACATCCTTCCCATGGCATCCATTGCCTACTCTCCTGCACTCGACGGATCGCTCGGGGCGTTGGAGATTGGCACGGTTGTGGGGACATTCCTCTTCGGGATTTTGACTCTTCAAACGTTCAACTATTACCGCCAATTTCCCGACGATTCAAAGACGCTCAAGATCACGGTACGATCGTCTTCTACACCCAATGCCACCTTGGTAACCTTCAGCCTTGTCGAGGATAGATCGGTATACTCTGGTCAGCTCGGTTCCGCCACAGTTTGAGCCGCATCTCCTGATAAGTGCGTAGGCTGCTCGACCTCGGCCATACGATATGCTGGGTACACGGGGTGTGTAACGATGATAATAATCCGACGTGCCCCTTCTCACCCCAGGGACAAAGATTTATGTCATGACTGTGACATTCTACGGCGAACCGCCCAACGAATTCATACTGAACCCGCCGCAGTCGCATATTTTGTCGATTTTGTTCTGCGGGGCAATAGAGGGGTCGGTTCAGGTACGCAATGTCGGTGCGGGATCAACCCTGGTGGACTAATTATACACAGATCTTCTACGGTAACCGCATCCGGGTGCTATCTGGGCGCTTTCACGTTTTCTTCTTGTGCATAGCATTGGCAGTCATGCGGTTCACCTGCGACATGGTCCTCATGTCCAGTTTCTGGATTTACAAAGAAGGCTATTTGGCGCTGAAGTCGAAAGTACACTGGGAAATAGTCACCGTCCAGATCCTTGGGCCTACTGGGGACATCCTTGTCGCTCTGGCGATGTGTTATTGCCTCTGGCGACTTCGAAAGTCAGAATTCCATCGGTAGGTTCATTGTAACATCACTGCGTCGTCGAGGTTCTCAACCTAGTCAAGCACACGAAGCATGGTCGACACTCTCATAATCTGGACTTTCGGTGAGCATACTTCAACGCGATTACCATGGCAATTCATCCCGCTGTTTAGAAACAACACTTGTCACCAGGTACGTTGACAATTCAAATTTAACGCATATATCTCAAAGGTATTAATGTTTATTGCAGTGTATCGGCGATCCTCATGCTCATCCTCGTTAGTCAACCATTGCCTTTTGCTTTCTTTCCACTTACGACTTCAACAGTTCCTCACTCGCACGGATTGTAAGTCGCACCTTTTGCTCAAATTACACTCACCAGATATTGAACCCTCCTAAACTCGGACAGTGACTTTCATGGTCTTTTATCTTATTCAACCCAAATGTGAGACTGATCGCGACAATTTCATGGATCACACTGATTGAATATTCTTAGTGTTCTCGAACTCCATGCTCGCAGTGTTTGTCCCCCCCCATCCCCATCTCCCCTGATCTCTCTGATTCCCCGCATCAGCCTCAACGGCCGAACTCGATTCCGCTCTGATGAAGCGACTATCGGTATTGGTACTCAGCCCCTTGCTTTCGAGTCCGCCGGGACGAAGAGCCGCCGCGAGGAAGGCCACCGTGATCATATTCTGGTGGACACAGCCGCTCGAATACGCAGTGTCCCCAGCGTGGTCGTTCATATTTCGCCCACCTACATTGACAATGACAAGGCCGATATCTTCGCCAAGGTTCTTCTCCGTCCTCTCTATAATTTGGGATGATTGCTGACTGTTTTCCCGTGGAGACCATCTGAAGGCAGAGGCGGATGTTTATTTAACTCCTTAACTACACCCTGGAGGCCATCGCATCGATTGGCCCCTGAGCCCGGAAGGGGACATTTTCGGGGGTCCCTGTGCATTTTTTTAACCTTTCTAATCTTTTACTCTGAGCTGTATTTTATGTGGTTCTGGCTCATCAAATTCTGTGCATTGTCATCACAATGTTTTGCCGACACTCGACTGTTCCTTATGCAATTTGAAGGTCAGTTTCAGTACTTGTGATTTTTCATAACAACCAGCAAAGCAATTTTGTTCTCTTCTGGAGAGGGCCATCTCACCCGTAACGGCCGTCTAGCTCAGTTGGTTAGAGCGTCGTGCTAATATCATAAGCACCCCACATATTACGCGAAGGTCTTGGGTTCGCCACGATGGCCATAGAAGATTCTCCACACGCTTTTGCCTCACTTTTTAGTCCTGGTTTCCAGGCCTCAGCAGCCCCTGAAATATCGTTCCAGGCAGAAGTTCAACTCAAGATATTAATTATGAAACACTTGCATAATGTGCTTTCCCCATTCTCTCGCCCTCAGTCCGCGGCAATTCTTTTGCACCCGGCTTCCTCTCTTAATATCTCATCTCCGTCGTCGCGGACTCCCACGATTCTCCTCTGTCCACACGATACGCTGCATCTAGTCCAGCCTCTTATTCGTCTACTGCGCTATCGTGCTCTTGTCTGTGCGCAACATCAGCCTTACTCTGAGGTGGCAGCACAGGATGAATTTTAACCTATGGATTAACCTAGCTTGGGAGGATATTCAGCTATCATCAGGTTGATTTTCACCGGCCATATGTTGATTACTACACGGGCATAGGTTGTTTCGCGCAGGTTGATTCACAACCTATTTGGGGTCAATAACATCCTATGGCCAAATGTGGTATTCTGTTGCTTTTCAACCTGTCGTAGGAGGATCCGAGTAACCTACACTCATCCTATGCCCTGCTGAAATTCACCCTCCTTCTCAGGTTGATTAACAGCATGTAATAGGCATATTTTCAGCCGCATTTCAATGTCAAATATAGGCGTAAAAACATATTGTGTAGGATGAAAAGTAGGATAAGCAGATGATACGTAAATTGGCAGTATTTCTACGCGCTGCACTGAAGATGAGGTGAATATTGGGCGAAGAGGAGCAAGTAAGATAGTGGAGAGAAGGAATCATTCAAATGGGGCTGTCCAGCTGTCAAGATGCTGATTTGATTGAATCGTCTTTGGCCACGTACCGCGCGCACTCAGTCCCCCTCATCGACGTCGTCCTCATCGTCCTGACGACTCGGGCCTGCGCCGTCAGACATGCTGTCGTCGTCGTCGTCGTCCTGAACCACCAACTTCTTAGCCTTGCGCGAGCCACTCTTCTTCCTTGTGGCCTCTTTCTTCTTGCTGGCGACTTTCTTCGCGGTGCGGACAGCGGCACGGTCGGCCTTGGCATTTGTGCGGCTACCACGGGGAGCGGATGGGTCCCTCTTGGCCGAGTTGGCCTTGAGGTACGCATACTGGGCAGGCGTCTCGAGCCATCCTTTCTGGTAGGCACGGCGACGCTTGTTCTTGATGTATTGTTTGACGAGTTCCTCAGTGGCCCAATCGTTAACGTAGCGTTTGAGGATGGGGTGCCGTTCACGCGCCTCGTAAATAGTGAGACTTTATTCTTCCCAAATATGTTGGGCACTTACCACCGCAAAAAGATTTTCCTTCGCTGCCGCAGAAGTTTTTGCCCACGGCTGCTCCCAATTGATCCCGGCCTGGAGTGTGATATCACGCATGTTCCGCTGCGACGAAATGAGGTCAGTAAGTTATTGTCTGTGCGGAAATCATGTACCATGACGGCCAAGTACCGCTCACGGTCCTCGGCATTGTGCCCCAACCCCATCGCATTTTGGATGTTAAAATTGTTTCCTGCAGAGCCGGCGGGCCTGGGCACCATCCCTATATTGCCGTCGTCATTGGAATTGGCGGCACTCTTGGCGGTGAGCGTCTGGACTTGCTTCTTGAGTGCCGCATTGGCAGCCTTCGCGTTCGCAAGTTCCTCTAGAAGCTCCAATGGTGAGTAATACACTTCATGTAGACGCTGTGACGCACCTGAGAGCTGATCATGATCTACAGAGTTTGCACGAGAACGAGGATCTTGATTGGTACGGTCTGCACCGAAACGGGCCTTAAGATCTGCCAGCTCCTTAAGAAGGGCAGCGTTGGCTGCCTCCTGTTCCCGGATGGTCTCTGGACCAGGTGAGTCATCATCGATACACATAGAGGAAGGCACACACGTTCCGCCAGGTCATGATTCTGCCGCAAAAACACGACCTCCTGCTGCGCAGAGCCCTCTACATTGAATTTGGTCTCCATCTCGTCACCATAGGGGTCGATGTGACCAGCGATACGCTCTGCGAGATCCTTTGGCGCGTTGGACGCGGCTTTCTTTGCCGGTCGTGCATTCTCATCTTGGGCACCTTTCGCACGGCTGGACGTCCTCCTGGCTGGTGCAGGGGCATTGGTATGTCTGCTTCCAGTCATGGGGGTGCCTTCAGAGCGGGTGTGCGCGTTGTTGACGTGGGGGTTTGAGTCGGAGAGTTATTTGAATTTTTTGTTTGTTTCTAGTTGTTATCGTTGGAGCGCATCAGCGCCGGCACCGCCTTTGTGATAAATATATTTTGCTCCACCGACGCTCCACATCCCCCACTGCACGCACCGGTCTCGACTCTCAATGGCTCCCAGAGTTTTATGCACTTGCTGTGGTGAGATGCTCTCGCGCAAACGGGAACGGGAACATCGCAGAACCGCCAATTCCAAACCCTACGTGGAACCAACTGGATTCTATCCCTCTCGACAGCGCCGTGTTTTTGCTCCGAGCTCTGAGGCGGATCCGGATGATCTTGCTGACCACCCCGAGGCTGGGTCGTCTGGGACTCGCTTCTCGTCTCCCGCCATCGACCTGGCAATTGATTCAGACCTCGGCTGGGACGAGAGCATGAACGATGTTGGCGGTGTTAAAGTTAGCGACGACACCGAGCCTGCAGCTGATGACGGGCTTGCCACCGCAGGGTTTGCGGATCTCGAAACACCCGAGATTCTCCCTTCGAGCTCATACCCACACCTCTTGTCGCAGCTCCACAATTCGGATTCAGAGGATGACTTTGACGAGGGACTCGAAGTGGATGAGGACGACGAAAATAGTGAGCGGGAGGAGGACAGTGATGGAGAGGACTCCGAGGAAGAGCCAGATATATTTGACTGGGATAGCTTCAAAGCCCCGATGGCTGGTCTTTCAGAATGGGATCGGCTGGGTGAATCGTTTGAAGCGGAAGCAGCTATAGGTGTGCTTCAATATGTCTCTGAGTCAATTTTACAAGACTAATGCGCATGATAGCACGGAAGCTCAGTGCCTACGACCTTGCTATTTGCAAAGCCTTTTCGTACAAAATGCAGACAAATACAACCGATAGAGCATTCAAAAAAATTCCTCTCGCATTTCCCCAGAACCCCCCGCTCCCAAAACTCGACGCACTTCGAGCGCGAGTCAATCACCTCGCGGGCTTCAAGCCCGAGATATATGATTGCTGCACCAATTCGTGTTTGTGCTACGCTGGGCCAAACAAAGATCTCACGAGTTGCCCATACTGTAAAGAGCCGCGCCTCCGCCCAAACGGAAAGCCACGCAAGAAATTCACATATATTCCTGTCATCCCCCGACTCATCGCATTCGCCGCCAACCGAGATATTGCAGAGAAACACCAGTACCGCGCAGAGCACGAACATAAACCGGGTACGACCACTGATGTTTTCGACGGTACACATTATCGTTCGCTGCACAAGAAGCATGTGGAAATCAATGGCAAGAAGTACGACCATAAATACTTCTCAGATCCCCGCGACGTAGCTCTCGGAGCATCCTGGGATGGATTTGCTCCATTCAAACGTCGCAAGAAAACCGCATGGCCTCTCATTTTATTTGACTACAATCTTCCTCCCGACTTGCGATTCCTCCTCCGATTTATCCTCGCTCTCGGCGTCATTCCGGGTCCGCACAAGCCAAAAGATTCCGATTCATTCCTGTGGCCGTTCGTGCAGGAATTACTGAAACTGTCGGTCGGTGTGCGTGCCTTCGATATTCTTTCAGGGAAATTATTCGCCCTGCGGGCCTATTTGATTCTACTCTTCGGAGACATCCCCGCTGTCTCAATGTTCATGCGGATGAAGGGCCACAACGGAGTTTCGCCATGCCGCATGTGCAAGATCATTGGCTTGCGCGTTCCTGATTCCCGTGCTACGACCCACTACGTGCCGTTGGATCGGTCATGCCATCCGGACGTTCAGGACGATCCGACTGCAATCCAGGTGTATGATCCTGAAAATTTGCCAATGCGCTCGGAAGCTGAGATAATCGCGCAAGGGGAAGAGGTGGAAGCAGCGACGACGACAGCAGAAGCTGAACGACTGGCGAAGAAGTATGGTGTTAAAGGTGTTCCTCTTCTCTCGTTCCTCAAGTCCCTTTCATTTCCACGCTCATTTCCTTTCGACTTCATGCACCTCATATGGGAGAACCTCATCAAGAACTTGATTTTATTGTGGACTGGCGACTTCAAGGGGCTAGACGAAGGTGGCGGTGAGTATGAATTGGCTAAAGCGATCTGGGATACCATTGCATCACGCACCGCATCCACGTCGGATAGCATTCCATCTGCTTACGGGAGCCGCATCCCCAATATCGCCAAGGATCGGCCCAATGTATCTGCAGAGATGTGGTCTTTCTGGACCCTTTACTTGGGGCCAGTTTTGCTCCGTCGTCGGTTCAGGAATGCCAAATATTATCGTCATTTTATTCAACTTGTACAACTCTTGAATATCTGCCTCCAGTTCGAGATCAGCGATGCCGAAATCGAGGAGGTCAGAACTGGTTTCATCGAGTGGGTGCAGTTATATGAAGAGTACGTATCTATTTCTTCAAATGCCTAGTTTCTCATGATTCAAGCAGGATGTACTTTCAATACGACGTCAAAAGATTACCGATTTGTCCATTGACAATACACGCCCTTCTCCACATTGCCCCGAGCATCAAGTTTACTGGGCCTGTGTGGTGCTATTGGGCTTTCTCGATGGAACGTTACTGTGGAAGCCTTCAGCCTGGGATTCGCAGCCGAAGGTTTCCCTGGGCATCACTGGATCGTTATGTTGTCGAGCAAGCTCAGCTGACTCAGATCATGACGGTGTACAATGTATCTTCTCAGCTCTCACTCGTCGAGCCTCGAACCGAGATCCCTGGCTCTTTCTCCGATCCACTGTGTACGATTTCATTATGCCACCTTACTCTGAACCACTACTCAAAGATTATTAGATCCATCCTGCATTCTCCTCCCTCCGAAATCACCTGCCAGACCCGATGTCAACC